AAATTACTTCTTTAACAACTTCTCTTGAAATCCTTCCAGGTGAAAATGAATTTCTCTCCTAAAAAGTGCTTTCATAAATGGCAGAGTAAGCTTCTGCAAGAAGTACCTTCAACTCAGAAATAAAATACAGCATTTTCTAAGCTTTTAACCTGTAAACTTAATGCAAGGTCCTATTTGTGCACCAAGCAGTATGCTGCTTGATTAAGCTCTCATAACACCACACAACTCAATGTGTCCAAAGCCCCAGCTGTAGTGTCACTGCAGCCATATGATCATAGCTTTGGCCATATTAGAGTACAGTGATTAATAATTCTGTCTGCGCTGTGTGGAAGATAATTACAATATGGTTCAGTTTCCCAGATCTAAAAGCTAGGCAAGTACTTTAACACATGTCATAATAATAATACCTGCTCATAAGACTACCTAAACGTTTTCCCCTATAAATGTTGACTCCCCACCACTCATCACCGTCAAACTGCAGGCTGAAGGAAACTGGTAACATTTGCTCTTTTCTTGAAATGGATTTCTGGTTTATCTTAGTATCATAAAACAACAGTTATTTCCACTTTGAGCAGGTGGCTGGACCAGATGATCTCCTGATGTCCCTTTCAACCTAAACTATTTTGATTCTGTAAATATGAGGTCAATTATTAAAAGTTACCTTAGGCTATTACAGAAATTAGGTGGATTGTGGCCAACTCTAGTGTTGTGAAGCCAGAATTTGGATTCAACTGTGAAGATTATACACAACTCCAGAGCGAAAGATCTCCATTCTGTCATTTCATGAGAAGTTACCAGATCTGCTGAAACATAAGCATTTGTATCGACATTGTCACCTACGAGGTCATTAAAAGTTATCACTCTGTGGAGAGGGCTGTGTTGGTTTACCTGATGTTCCACCCTTGGATTCTCAGTCTCCTTTGGTTTTTCCCTTCCTATCTGTCACCCAGTCATCCAATCTCATTCTACTGTCTTTCAGGTGCAAGGGACAAAGAAGACACTTGGTCTCAACCTCAAATTCTCAGTGACTGACAGTCCAGATGACTTATTGCAGTTGTAGAAATAGCTCTGCATGAAGCAAAGGGCACAGAATTGGTTAAAAAACCCCTACAAAACAACAAACCCTTCAGCATGTGGTTTTTGGGTAGACCCCACCACACTGCTAGCTCAACAGTCTCTCTTCTCAAAGGCCTCACTCATAAGATATTAAGGAGATCGATTCTGTTCAGTATTATGCAATGCTTTAGAAAAGAGAGTAGCGTCCTTGCCCCCCATGCCAGCCAGCAACTCCTAGTGTCCAGGCCTAAGGAATGGCTATCAACTCAAGCCCACACCATGCAGCACAGCAGTTGTCCAAACCTTTGCACCTCCACATTATAGACGGCTTTTTTCCATACCGCAGACCTGACCTACCTGCCCATAGGGCTTGTTGTCAATTCACTAGTTCTGTGTAAGTGACAACAGCCTATGGGGCCAAGTCAGGAAAGCCAGCACAGAATGGATGCCATCTGCTGGGATTATACTGATCCAGAAACCTAAAAGGTGGTGAATGACATTTAAAACCCTGCACTGCTGTGAAGTGCCAAACTAATGCCTTCTGGATGTTCTCTTGGCTCATGAAGCCCCTCAGCAGTGGTGTGGAAGCACTTTGGAGCACTACCACCAAGGTCTGCAGTTCAGCCTTTGCACACCTCGTGCGTCTCTGTCCCTGTGCTGCGTCAGCCACACCACCTGCATCCACCATGCGTGTTATCACTGTTACTCACAGGCCTTCCTCAAGAAATGGGACAAGCTTCCCAGGGAAAAATCAACCTTCACAGGGTCGGATGACTCAACTGCCTTGAGGTCAACGCTGCCTATTTCCTACCACAGAAGGCTACAAAGCCTCTTCCTGAAAAACAAGGCTCATGTAGGCATTTCAGCTGAGTCCTCTATTCCTGCAGGAAGGAGGTTGTGTGCACTTCCAGTTGTCTGGCTAAAGCGTTGGGACCTTCAGCATGCCTTGCACTGTGGAAATCAAAACAGCACAATCTGGGCAAGAACTCAAGAAAGCCACTTTAAGTGGAGAGGAAGCTTCAGACCCTGACAGAACTAGCACAGTCCCACCATGACCTACAGGTTTGGCCCCTGGAATGGGACATGAGCATGCAGCGCCATTGGCATATCAGCGGTTCAAGTTTAGTGTGGCAACAGCTCCAAACAGAGCTTGGCTCAGCTAAAAACTATAGTTTATGTTCCACGCACCTTCAAATACTACCCCTATGTCAGCTGATAGGGACACAGTGTCCATATTCTCAAAAAACACAGAACAGTGCTCCCCTTCCTCCAACCCACAGGTGAAACATCAGTGGTGTTTCCTGCTTGCTCACTGACATCACTTGCCCCAATCTCCTGCAATTCTGATCTTGCTGCCTGTCTTGTATCTGTGAGAGGATCACAGAGCAAACAGTTCCTTAGTCTGAGGGTTGAGCATCCTTAATGTCAGTCCTCTGTTATGTCTAACATCTTTCAAGCCTGAAGAGTCCTCAGGTGGTTTCTATCTTTGTTTATGCCCTCTTCAGACTTCTTCCCTCATGTCAAGTTACACTGTTAGTATGATGCATAATTGGACTCTCAGCTCCTCCTTTCCTGAAGGGACTGAGTGGACAGGCAAACACATGGAGCTGTAGAAATAAATACAGAAGCAGGGATTCGAAATCTCTGCAAGAAGCAGCAGAGTGCCTGGTTTGAAAAAACCCAGATTATTCACAGCTTCAAGAGAAATGAAAAAAAAATATCCAAAGTGTCCAGCTAACACACACACACACACAAGGAAGAAATTAAAAAAAGGGAAAATGGGTGTTCTTAATTCACTGGAGGTATTCCCCTTTGCCTACATCTTGCTTTCAGGACACCTTGTGAAACTGGTTTAGAAACTGCCATCCCTCTGCCTAGCTTGTGTTTTAGGGGTGATTCTGCACCAGCAATTTTTCAGGGGACTCCTCACGCAACCATTCATTTTCAAAAGTAACTTTTGGTAACACCCTGCCATCCATTTCACACTTGCAGCATCCTAATCCTGGCCTCATAGGCAGCATATGGGGAATCCCAAACAGCCCATCAGTCCTTGCTGGGCAGTTTCTGAAGAGACAGAATGCACACCTTTGTTACTGTATTCAGCCCCACAATGTAAAACTCTTTTTTTTTAATCCAATTTGTCGATATGCATCTGCACAAGTACATAGGGAAAAGCTTGAAACAGACCTACACACACCAGCCAGTGATTAACACTGCTGCACTTGCAAGGGATTGCAGGGCTGTGAAGCCGTTTTTTAAGGACCTGTGCCACCCTACGGCAGACTGTAGATTTGATAGCGAGGGCAGGAGAGGAAGAGGAGGTGCCTGTTTTATGAGAGACAGCTGACTTTCTGCTGTGGCTTTGTCACCTCTCTGAATGGAAAAGCAATTACGTACTTTGTGCTCCTTCAAAGTGCAACTGAGCAGTGTATGGCGAGGGCCCTGAGAAAGGGGGGCAATGAACAGGACCCCGCAGGAGCCCGTGTGCACCGCTGTGACAGACAGGGTCGGGCGCTTTCTGTAAGGCACTTGTGCAGTAGTTCTTACTGCCTTAGTTTGTCAAGGATCCCTAATCAGTATTTGTTAGTACAGAAGCAGGAAGTCAAAACAGGGCATGGAATCAGAACAATTCCATGTTAGTCTGTACTCAGCCTCTTCCCTCAGAAGGCAGAGCTTTTCCAAGCACACTTCTTGCTGAAATCTGCTGATTTTCGATTCTCACACGGTGGCTCTCCCCTGGGCATGGCCAACATTGTGGCCACAGGGTGAAATCAGAGTCCCACCAAAAGAGCACGGAAAGAGGAGAAATTGACAACAGTATGGAGAGGAGGAGCTGAGAAGCAACATTCCCAGTCCTCACAGGGACTCTACAGCTGAAAATCTGTGGCAGGCTAACACTGTGAGAACACATTTTCATCTGCAGCAGAACGAGAGGCATATGTGAGCCTTGTGCCGTAACTGAGAAAGAACAAGACAAAGATAAACAACAGTCACCTCAGCAGGAAAACAGGGACCTTTTTTATCTATAACAGAAGTTACGAGTCTGTTGAAACTACTTGTTAACCGGATTATTACGCTGACTCTTGCATGTGTATATTTATGGATTTGATCAGTGGAAGTCCCCAAGTGTAAAGTCTGTAAGGGCTGTTGAGACAAAAGGAAGAGCCTGCTTGAAAGGAGCAAACAAACAAAGCGACGAGGAAAGAAACAGACATTTAATTACGAACTAAGTAACAGAAAGGGCTTAGTTTGCAATCAAGCATCCTAACACTGAAAACTAGAGGGAACAAGCAAGTCTCAGTTCCAAGCTGCTGAAAGCCAGGTGCATTCCTGTGGTGAAAGATCTTGCTTTTCTTGGCATCTGCCAGTGGTGACCTTGGTACTGGACTGTAAGAATCTTTGAGCAGCATGAGCCCAGGCAGTAGCACCCTGGACTTTTAAAATGGGCTTTGATTTGCAGCAACACCAGATGAAGGAGGGCAGTGCTCCACTGCAGCCGACATCAGTGATTTAACTCTTTATAGACGTGGCACGTGGGGCCAAAATTCAGGTTTCCCGAGGGCAGCTCGGCCAATCTCCTACCAGCGACCACACTGGCTGCCAAAGGCTGAAGGGCAGAAGGCCCCTTTCACCTTTGCTTCCAAAATTCCTCATGGTCACTTTGAAACCCAAACCACAGCCCTGAGCTTCACGGAAAAAAACTCCAGTCCTTCGTGCCTCCCTACACAAGGCCTCCCAGACCCCACGCTCCCTGCCCCGCTGGCTGTCCTCAGCCTCCTCCCACTCTCCAGGCCCTCACGCCTCCCTCTCCAGTCCCTGTGTCCAGCCCAGCAGGACGGGACATCGCCTGCCCGCTTCCAAGATGGCGGCAGGCGCGCGCCACCCTCAGCAGCGCACCGCGCCAGGGCAGGGCGGAAGAGAGGGAGATCCGGCCTCGGGGCGCCGCGAAGCGCATGCGCACCGCCCGGCGGCCGGGGCGGGCCGGGTGCAAGATGTCGGCGCAGGGGGACTGCGAGTTCCTGGTGAAGCGGGCCCGGGAGCTGGTGCCGGCGGACCTGTGGGCGGCCAAGGCCTGGCTCATCACGGCGCGGAGCCTCTATCCCGCCGACTTCAACATCCAGGTGAGCGCCGCCGGTGTCGCGCCCGCTCGGTACCGGGGGCGCCGCGCGGCCTTGCTGCGGGTGCTGCCTGATTGACAGGCGGCTCGGCCAATGGGGGCGGGGGCGGGGCCGTGGTTTACCGCGGTGACGTAGCTAATAATAATAATAATAATTAAAATATTTAAAATATCTCTCCTACGTATTGCTTTTGTAACAGCTCGGGGTCTTTGCTTTGCATTTGACTGGCTGATTTTTAAGTTTTCTATTTTTGTAAAGATCAAGCCAGCATGTTCGTAGAGCCATGGAATGTTAAGGTTTGGAAGGGACCTTGAAGATCATCTAATCCCATTACTCCTTGTACCCCTTACCTATCATTATGGTTGCTGACAAAGAGTCACTCACTGGCTTCCCTTTAGGCCTCTTTCAGATGTTGGAAGGTTGTTAATAATTTTAATAGTAAGTATGTTATCATACAGAAGTTTATTCCTAAATTAATGTGTGATTAGGTAGTCTAAACTCACTTCCTAATTTCTCCAGCAAATGTTGCAGTCCTTCAGTTTTCTGTTACTCAGAGTGCTGTGGCAAATTGAGGACAGTTTTTTTAGAGTGGAAGGACTAATCTGATTCATAAAGTATTCAGGAAAGGTAATGTTCTGTCCTTGCCTCCTGCAGTATGAGATGTACACTATCGAGAGGAACGCTGAAAGAACAACGTCTGCAGGCAGGCTGCTCTATGACATGTAAGTAATCAGAGCTGGAACCCTACAATTATGCCAGGTGCTCATTTCTATAAATTGTCAGACCTTCCAAAAATACAGTGTGAATGTTCTTGAAAATATCCGTGTGGATAAATTAAGCAGAAAAGTTCTAATTAATTAAAAATAGACAGTAAAAAGGAAGGTTTTATTTTCTGTTTTGCCCACACACGTACTTTCGTGGAAGGGTTTTGCCTTGGAAGCAGATTTTGAGGTCACTGTGCATTCCTTGCCTCAAACTTTGTTATAGGTTTGTGAATTTTCCAGACCAACCTGCTGTATGGAGGGAGATCAGCGTTATTACATCAGCACTAAGGAATGACTCACAGGACAAGCAGACACAGTTTTTAAGAGGTAAGGATTCTATCCTGAAGGAACCTAAGGGTAAACCCTCTGGTTACATGGCCAGTAATGTCAATCTTTTTAACTTTGCTTGTGGGCTGCGAGGTTTTTTTTCTCAGCTTGTCCTTAGAGACTTCAGTTGGTGTGTTAGGCTTAGGAAAAATAAAGGGATTTGACAGGCTGATTGCTTTGTCCCTTTGTCCCTGATATGGGTAGACTGAGTCTGCCAAAACAGCAAGCACTTAGAAAAGAGATTGAATAGGGAGTAAGTGGAATGGGACTTGCAACTTGTCATCTCACAGATTGCAGAGAGCAGTGAATGATCATAAAGATGGGGTGAATTCGTACGTAGGAAGTGAGGGTTATGAAAATGAACGACAACCAGAAGGGCTTGGCACTCACTGCTGGCAACCACAGGCAGTTTTGAAAGCAAGATTTACACCTGAAAAGTTATAACCTGCTGTTTGAATACGTGCTTCAGAAGCCCTAAGGATAAGCAGTGTTTAGGTCTGCATACAGGCTATTCCAGTTAAGAAAACATTTGATTTTTCATGAGGTGTATTTATTTTTCAGAGTGAATACATAAAGCATACAGGGAGAATATATTAGTTTCTTTTCGGTGTCTCACTGTAAGTTTGAATTGGGAAAAACTAAATTTTAATAATTAAAATATTAATGGTAGAAGTGGAATGTAATTAAAAAATAAATGAACAGTCTTGGAAAAGCATCTTGAAATGTTGAATACTTAAGTATTAGGATTTTGAGTACTCCACTCATTAGCAGTCTTACCTGTTAATTCAAGTTCTCTGAACCTGAATAAACACAGATAAATATTAATTTGGTCTTCTTTGAAAGAAACAGACTTTTTTTTTAGGTCATGTGTATTAAAAATAGAGAAAAGCATAAGGAAATGCCTTTTGCTCTGCATGGCAAGGTGCTGTTGCCTCATCTTTTACCCTTTTTCACTCAGCTTCACAATTCAGACACAGCAAACTAAATGGCTTAATATTTTTTTTTTTTTTTAAGGATTATTTGAGACCCTTCCTGGTCGGGTTCAGTGTGAAATGTTACTGAAGGCAACAGAGCAGTGCTTTAACACACTAGAAAGGGCAGAAATGCTACTGCTACTTCTGCGACGTTTCCCAGAGACTGTGGTGCAACACGGGGTAAGGGAAGAGAAGCTCGTAGTAACTATTCAGGATGTTGGCACTCTGCTTCTTGAGATTTTGCTGAAATGTGCTTTCCTTTGCCTAGTGAGGGGGTGGGTCTTTTTATTCATGTTTAATTGTGCCTAATAGCTCAGATTGCTGTATTGGGAGGTTACCACCAGCAAGGAATTAGGCAGAAAACAAATGGAAGCCAATAAAACAATCCTTTGTTTTGTAAATGAAAGAATATCAGTCATGTATTGCTCTCACCTGTCTGTGCATGTCTTTACTAATGTAGTCACATGTCACGGTTTTTCTCTTTTTCTTGTCTTGCTGTCTTCTGGCATTGCTTTTCACCTGTTATTAAGTATGGACAGTTTAACTATACATTTGGAGACTTGCACATGCTGCTCACGCATCCACTGAATTACTGTTCAACCCCACTGAACTGCAGTTCAAAAAGTTTCTAAAACGACTGGTCCAGTGTTTGATTTTCACCTCTGCTCACACAGGTAGGCCTTGGAGAAACATTGTTAGACGCTGAAAGTATTGAAGACCAAGAATCTCCAGTGAATTGTTTTAGAAAATTATTTGGTAAGAAAATACCTATGTTGTTTTACTTTTTAGTATGGCAGGATTTTGAGATAGTAAAACTGCTTTCAAGATTAGAAAACCGCTTTAGTCAGAAGAGGCTTGGGCCACGTTAGTCCAGGCTGACCATATAGTACAAATTGGTATTGCGGTCAGTCATGTGAGGTTCTTTGTGGTGTATGGTCAGCCAGAGATGGAGGCTCACATTACTGGTTGAGAAACCCTACCTAGGACAAATAGAACAAAAAGCTCCACAAACCTAAAGAATTTTTTTGTTTGTTTTCTATTTTAGTTTGTGATGTTCTTCCTCTGATAATTAATAATCCTGATGTACGACTTCCTGCCAGCTTGTTATATAAATATCTGAATAAAGCAGCGGAATTTTACATTAACTATGTAACTAGATCCACCCAGACAGAAAGCCAATATCAAGGTAAGAATATTTTTAGTTAAATTAAACTTTCTTAGAATGTATTTTAGTATTAGTGAAGTGACGTCCATAAATAAAAAACGCATTATTTTTATGTAATGTAACATGTAGACGATGATTAATAGTAGAATTTGATGATTCTTATTTCTTTGATTCCAAAATACCCCATGGTGCTTCAACATATCTACTGAGAGGTAGGATGAAATGTTAAAGATATCCTTAGCCAGCCTATCAGCTCTCCTGTATGAGGAGGCAGAAATGCCTGCTGCTCCCTGTTAGCCTTCTCAGTAAAGAAAGAATGGTTACCCTAAAAGCTCTGACATAATTTTTACATCTTCTTCTTGAAAGTTGATCAGTTTGTTTGATTTCCTTATGAAGAGAGAAATGTGCTGGTTTTCCTAGGTTCACAAGATTCCTCTGATATTATGTCTCCAAGCAAGCGCAGCTCTCAGAAATACATAATAGATGGTCTCACAGAGAAGTCATCCCAGATTACAGATCCTTGGGAGAGGCTATTTAAAATATTGTCTGTGGTGGGAATGAGGTGTGAATGGCAAATGGATAAAGGAAGAAGGTAAGAAAAGTGTACTTTTCCGGGTATTTCTTCTCAAGGAAAATTTGGCTTTTTAATTCTGAAGGAGGTGCATTGAAGACGAATTTTAACATGAGAATTTTGTGTAAGTTCACAGCAGCTTTTCTTTCAAGACTGTGCAGTGTAAAGCAGAAACGTGGCTCCTGACAGCACTTTGAAATTAATCTCTAAACTCAATTTTTCATAATGAAAGTCATACATAAGAACTATAGTACTGTGCGGTGTCCTTCCCTATGTGCCCCAGCAAAGAGAAACATGGTAAATGTTCAGGGAAATTTCACTAGCATCTATTCTCAGCTTCCACTGACTTGAGGTGGGGGGATGTCTTCAGTGGAAACATTAAGATTTTGATACTCACTGTACAATCTTTCGTTTAGTTTCGGAGTCTGTGTAGCATCCTGAATTCTTTTTGCCTCTCTTCCCCTCAGAAGTTTTGGTGATATTTTGCATCGAATGAAAGATCTCTGCAGATACATCAGCAACTTTGATAGCGATGCCCACGCTAAATATAAGAATCAAGTAGTGTATTCCACGATGTTGGTCTTCTTTAAAAATGCATTTCAGTATGTCAGCAACATCCAGCCATCACTCTTTCAAGGTGAGTTTCTAATGTTTCAACTTCTGTAACGAGTGCTTTGTGATTTCATTGCTAATGTCTGTGAGATCTTTGCTCATTAGTATTTTGAAATGGTCATCTTACAAAGTTACATTGACATGGCTGTTGTTATAATTCTCTGAAGCCATTAATCTTACCAGGAGAAGTATTTCATAAGAACTGCTGTAGCGGATCAGACCAAAGATCAGTGCAACTATCGTGGCTTCAATCTTGGCCAGCAGCAGTTGTCTAGCAGGGAGAAAAGCAATAGACCAGACATGATGAGAAACATCTCTAGGGTTGATTCCTACTCTTCCATCAGCATCATGTTTCTCTCATTTTCTCCTCTGACTTTTTTTTTCTCTGAAGCTGGTGTTTCCCTGCTTTTCTTCAATCAAAATATTCTACAAAAGGCTTCCATTAGATAACTGAAGATATTTTTGCATTGGGAACACACAACAAATATAATAAGGCAAATAAAAGCTGAATAGGAAAAGATTTCCTGAAAGTAACAAGCTTCCAACTTGGCTTTCTTTGTGTAGTTTAAGCATAATCTTTAAGGTGTGCTTTGCACATTAATCCTAATTTGTAATTAATTTGTAAATTGAACATTTAGCGTATGAATGTTACCTCTGTATTTTCCTACTGACTCAGATTTGCATTTGAGACTTACCAGGTTGCTTGGAACACCTTGGATTGTTTCTTCAGGGATTGATTGGACTTTTCAGGGGTGGCCCAGAAGCTGAGGGAAGTTCTTTACTCTCCAGTTTGTTAGAGCTTACTGAAATAAACGGCATCACAAAAAGGAATTTTCAGCTCTTAATAATGCACATTTCCTGCTTTTTCATTCACTGACAGGAAATTTCTTGGAATGATAACAATTGTCCCTGTAGGTAATTAGTACTTATTAACACTACAATTATGGATTCATGATAAAATTATAATTTTAATTCCATATGTTTTGATCATAAGTTTAATCACATTTTTCTGCATGGAGCAAATGATCATTTGGCTGAGGAAACAGTCAGTGCAAATGGTGTGTTTTAAGCAGCTGTGCAGAATGTTGGGTAATCAGTTGAACAGTGTGAGTAGGTAGCTAAGCTCAGAGGACAAATGACAAGGCAACCTGTATGCAAAGAACATGTAGTCACTTTAACAAATACAGAAACTAATGGAGTTGAGTTTTTTGTTCTGTCCAGAGGAAAGAAGAGTAATGATGGAGCAGGGAGATGCTTCAACTGTGCATGTAGTTATAGCTGCTTTATTCTGAGTTGAGGAAGAAATGAAGTAAAGAACTAGTGAAAATGTTCCTTTTTAAGTTGTACAATTGAGTATTTCAAAGCTAGTGTTTTCAGACTGAACTACCAAAAAAAGAAAGTATTTTGCGGTAGCAAAGTGCAGTCCCTTGGGTCAGTGTTTGTGGTACCCTCTGTAATTTCCCAACATCAGGAAAGTATTTCCAAGACATCTTGTATTCATTTCTGCTTTAGCATCAAAGTCCAGTGGTATTCAGTGCCTTTCTTAATCTTTCTATCATTAAAATGTTTCCTCCTTCTCTTTGGAGGGTTTACTGTAGAAATATTGAATCCTGCATATTTTGGAAGCATAGTGGTGGGGAAAGATGCTGTCTCCTCCTTAATCTGTAGCTCTGAGATTTCTTCTCATGTACCTGGATTTGCAAGAAACCTCTGGAGGGAAAACTTTTCAGTGCATTGCTCTTACATAATTCATATCTGCTTTGCTGGAGACTTGAGAAATTAATGAGGCAATTCACACCTCTCCTAACTTTCAGGCTACCTGCAGGCTCGGCAGCAGTTGCTATTTGGGCTGATGCTTTTAGGGGTTTATTTAGAACACTCTCTGCTACAAAACAATTAAAAACTCTGTAAGCTTAGGTTCTAGAGCCTGGATAGACAGAAAAACACACTGCACTTGGTATGGCTGTGTAACTTTCAGTACTGAAAGAGAGGGTCTGCAGCCCCAGTCAAGGGTGAGATTAGGTTTTGTTTTCATTTAGAGAATTCATTCTCTTTGTTAGAAGAGAACGCTTCTTGGAAAACAAAGCACGTAGCTAGCATTAATTTAAATCAGTGTGAATAAAAGAAAAATCCATTCTTTTCTTCTCAGGTGTTAGAAGTAGGCAGCTCTTGAGGTCCTAGTGAGGAAACTCTTCCAGCATCCTAGTCGTGGTACTTTCATATGTGTTTCTCATGGATGCCATCTTCTGCATTATGGCTTGGCTCTATTTTCAGTTTGCACAGGTTAGATTCCGATACAGTGGAATACGTGATGGTACAGGAGAGGTGATTTCAATGTGTTGTAGCCTTTGTGTAGGGGACATTTCGATGGTGGTGTCCAGTTTGGACCTAGTCAAAGGAGATAACCTTATTTGTTAAGTATGACAGATTGGTTGTTTTCTTCTAACATTAACTTCTGTTGTAGAGGACTCCTTGCACATCACTTTTGAGTAGATGGGAAAGCTTAATATAGGTTCTTTTATGTCAGTAGATGAAATAGGTGAAGTAGATTGTCCTTCTAAACTCTCAAAATAGTTCTTTGCAATTATGAATGAGGCCTTAGCCTCACATCTTTCTGCAAATAGAAACAGAAGAAATGCACAAACTGAAAATACTTGTCTGCCCTACTGTCTTATGGGGCAGAGATTTCAAAAAGAGAAAAGAGATTAATGGGTTTTCCCCTTCCTTTATATTCCTTTTTATCTGAGCTTTGCACGTCTATATACAACTTGATTGTGCAAAAGGAGGAAATGTTTTTGGACGGAAAGCTGTCTCAGCAGTGATCAAGTACCAGTGTTGTTTGAGATTAAGAAGTATTTTTTCCTGTTTTATATTTAATGAAACTTTAGCACTGGGGTTTGAAATAACAGCTACCAGATCCCACCAGGTGTTCTGTGACACCAGTGAAAGTAAAAATTGCCTTCTGTGTTTCGAACTGGGGCTTCTCTAGAGACTTTGGAGAGTGAAGATGAGCTCTGGCAATCAATTAAAGATTTAATTCTGTTTACTGAAATCACTGGGATCAAAGCTGACACTGAGTGATCCTACCAGGGAAATCTTGTCATAAAATATACTCACTTCTTCCAGGCATCAGTGCCTGTCAGCATATTGCTTTGTTTTCTCATGAGAATGTTTTGAGAATATTGCTGTGCTTTGCCATATTTGCGGCTGTTAACTTCAGAGCCATTTGCGCCGTTCATCTATTGAATTATTATACTTATATAAAAGCAAATAATGCTTGATGAGAGAACATCTGCTGCCTGAGTATATCTTGTGACAGCTCCATAAGAAAAGGATTCAGAAATATTCTGAAGCTCTCAAGCAAACTCTCGTGACGTCTGGTAATGCATTCTGACCTTTACCATAAGGCTGCTTTGAGGAAACCATAGCATGGTTTGAGCTTAGGCAACTTAAGTGACTTTATTTCAGATTGTTTTCTCTAGTATTACAGTCATTACTTGTGAAGGAAACAAAACCAGCTTGCTGTAGGCATGAGTCCTTTCAGATCAGTTTAGAGTAATTGTGAATTAATGTGTCTTTAAATCCAGGTCCAAATGCTCCAAACCAAACCCCACTGGTTCTTCTTGAGGATGTATCCAACGTCTATGGTGATACAGATATTGATCGTAACAAACACATACACAAAAAGAGAAAACTTGCTGAAGGAAGAGAAAAAACAATGGTAACTTTAATTTTAGACTTTTTAATTCATAACAACAACAGCATTGGTACTGGAATTTAGACAATAGTGGTTTTGACATAGATGTAATAGACGTATTTTTAGAGCTATGCTGAAATAGCTGTTCATGACCACAATTTTCAAACAAATTTTTTTTTCTAAAGCCAGCAAGAATAAAACAATTTTTGCAACAATTGCTGTAGACACATATGTATTGCTGTGAATGCTTTAACTTGAAGGAGTTCAACAGAGGCTGCAGAAGCTGTTTGGAAGGTAGCTTTACCAGTCAGATGTTCTGCAGCTAAACTTCCAGAGTAATTGACTTTTCATGACTGGAACTGTCCATATATTTTAATGTATGAAAAAATATTGCTTTAATGTAAAAACCCACTATTCTCTGCTGGTAGTACACACTTATAAAGAATTTCCTTTGCATTATGTCATTGTAGACCTAAACTGAGTGATAAAGTGTAAAGTGTGTATGTACTTTAACAGATAATCTGTGTGAAGCTCAGTGATGGTACACCATGTTTAATTTGCTTGGGATACTGCCTATCACAGTGTGCCACTGAGTTTGTTGGTAGCAAAACAGATTGGTCTAATATTAAAACAAGCTAAGCGAAAAATCACTTAAACTAGGACCTAAGAAGGTAATCTTTTTGTTTTATAATGACCTCTAAGCAGAGCTCAGATGATGAGGATCCCTCTGGGAAGGCACGAAGTCGCCATATTACAGTAAACAAGGCAGATCTTGCAAACTCCATCGAAGTATTAGAGAGCTTCAAACTGGCAAGAGAGAGCTGGGAGCTGCTCTATTCTCTGGAATCACTCGACAAAGGTAAGGCTAAATGCAGGCAGAGTTGCATTTAGGCTTCACTGCTCTGCATAGAAGTGATTTTACTGTTGTTAAAATAGAATTCCTGTCAATTATGAATCCTTAAAATCGAAATTACTTTGGGTCCTTAGTATTTTTGATAAAAGTTCCAGAAAGGAGCTTTATCAGTTGTTGTGTTTCTGAATATTTTATACCTGTATTTCATTTCATTCTTTATTCGTTCACCTCCACTTCTCTTGGAGCAGTTGTTTGGTAGTAGAGCTGATAATGCTGAGTGAGGATATGCTGCTAATGGCTGCCTTAGTTTATGCTTGAGAAGATGTGTGTTTACTCTGTTTCTTCCTTTCTGATAATATCTGGTGTGATAATCTTGAAAAAAAATTTCTCTTCTAAAAAGCAGGGAAATAGTACCACCTAGCTGCTTTTAGGTTTGTTGGACACTGTGAAGAGAAGTATAATCAAAATCTTGAGTTTATAGGAAGAGAGTATTCTGTATTTGAAGGATTTCATACTCTTAACTTTTTTAGTGTTTTTTTTTTCTATGTTTAAATTGAGCTTTTTTATATACATAATTGATTTTTAACCCAAAGCTATGAAATGCTTTATTATCTCTTTTACTTTCTCTTCTCTAACCACTTACACAGAGTTCACCAGAATTTGTTTGTCATGGAAGACAGAGACCTGGCTTTGGTTAAGAATCTTTCTTACAGACATGATCATCTACCAGGTAAAAAAATTACAGTATAAACTAGGAAAAACAACGTGATTGTGTTGCTCTTCCTTCTAGTAAATAACTGTTCTGGTTTGCAAGTTTGACTGCTTATGTTGCCTACTGATTTTATGCCTTAAAATATGACCCTTGTGGGGATAGAGCTACACCGTTTGTACTGCAAGCTAGGTACCCTGCTTTGGGTATTCCTGTCCCAATAGCTGTTGTTGAGTCCAGCTAGTTTTGACATATGGAAAAGACTTCTCTGCAGGCATTTTGACCAGTGGAGATATATATATATTTTATATATATTTTATATATGTATGTAGTGTTACAGAAGAAAAGCACATTTTATTAGTCTGTCAGTGCATTATATTGGAACACAGAGAGAAGAATTTTCAAACAACAAAATATTTGAATATGTCTCAGTTAATATTTATCATTCTCCTCAAAAATTAGGCTGACTGTGCTCATTCCAATACCATCTAAAGAAGAAAGCCTGTTCTTTATTTTTCCTTTGGGGGTCTTTTATTTTTGCCCGTACTTGTTACCTGAACAAGAGCTATTTCAAACTCCATTAGTCTAAATAAAGAAACTATTAACTCAAGACTATGATTATTTGATTCAGTTACAAATATGATTTTGTAAACTGGCTTTTTAAAGCAGAATTCTGTTTATCTTCTCACTGCCTTGCAAATGATTGATCCACACTCCTGTACACAGCCCATCACTGGAGAGTGGGAGGCTAGGTTAAAATTTTGAAGGCTTGTTACTTGGACACTCTGTTTTGAAAGCTTTCTGTAAGGGAATTTTTAGTTCTATTTTTCCACCTATTGTATACAGAAGACTGTAACAGTGGTTTTTTATATCCTTTTTTTAAAGGGGCAGTACAAAAAAGCAATCAGCAGCCTCCATCACTTGGCAGCTCTTCAGGGCTCTCATTCTCCACAGCAAATTACGGGACAAGGATCCCTAGAAAATCAGAGAGCACTAATCCAGTTAGCATCATGCCACTTTGCCCTTGGAGAGTATCGGGTATGTACAGCATTCCACACACTGGTCCTTCATCATCTGGCCCTGTGGTTCCCATTTGTCTTCTTCCTTTGAATTTTCCTGCTTTCCAGAGGGTATCAAACATAAGCCATGGTCTACTGAAAAATCTGTGCTTCACAGGGAGAATTACACTTCCTACCATATTAGCTGACTGTCCATTTAGCAACTCTCTTTTACACACACACATATATATATATAGGTCTAGTTGGTAATTAAGATTTGAGGGTTTAGTTACAGTTTTCCATAGCTACAAGTGTTTGAGTTGTCTGTAAATGTACCCTTACATTTGAATTCTTTAACTTTATTGAATCGGTTCTTAAAATTGAGGGAAAATTCTTAGGTATAGTCGTCATGGGGAAAGAAAATGTAAAGATACTTCTATCTTAGGAAAGAGTGAGTTATCAACTGACAGTATAAAAGACTCCAGGACAGTATTATCTGGCCTGACCTCTGAACTTGCTTTACTTTTGCAGTATGTGTTTTGTGTTTTTAATATTACAGCCGTGCATGGTGGTCTGAGGTCAGTCAGTGTCAGCACTGATAATAAAGGCTGTATCTCTTAGGACCTAACGTCATCCTGTGTTACTGGACAAGTGCTTTTGTCCCTTCCAGTTTAGTGCTTTTTCACCGAAAATGTGATCATATATCCTTACAGACCTCTTACTGTCTCTAGAAAATAGCATTAAAAATTCACTGAGTTTCTGTCATGTTGTCAGATTGCCATTTTCCTTTCTATTTTTACCATGAACAGAACAAGCTTTACAAAACTATTTTAAGAATGCATCTGAAAACTTAATCCTTCAAAATAAAATAGGTTTTGATTGCAGTTTTTGATCTTACACCCTTGAAATGAAGGATGGCAATACATATTTTTTCACAAGTAAAATTATATATGTAGGCTCTCAGAGATTGTTAAAGGACAGCTCAGTCTTTTTGCTTAGCCAAACTATGCTGTGTATTAAGGCCATTCAAGTTCTAGCAGAGATTTTGTGATTTTTTTTTTATTTAATGGTGTCTGAATTTTTTAATAGTTATTAACATACATGAATTTTAAGAACTTTAAATTTAGCATTATCATATCCCTTCTTTTTATAGCAAACATGTGAAAAAGTGCTTGACCTCATGTGTTATATTTTACTTCCAATACAAGAAGGAGGTAAAGTGCAAGAGGAGCAACCTAAAGTCAAGTCTAAATTCAGGAAAGGTATGAAGTTGCTACTACCCTAAACTCAGTGTCAGTTCACGTGTTCTGGTTCAGTATGTAATTATTCTCATTTTGTATTATGAAAACAGGAAGTTTTTTTATCCCTGCTTGGTTTTGTATTGTGGTTTTCATGCTGGTACCTCTTAAAATGTATTGGTGCCAACCTCCTACCACAGGAAAAGAGAAAGGAAAAAAGTTCACCTTTTGAACCATTCCTAATTTACCTTCAAAGCTTGGCAATAGTAGATTTGTTTTGCTCCATTCCAATTTCTTTCAAACTTAGATAATCACGAGATCCCTAAAGAACTGTTCTGTTGCAGGGTCTGATTTGAAGCTTTGGCCGTGTACCAGCAGAGCTATCATGCCTTACTGCCTTCATCTGTTGTTAGCTTGTTTCAAGGTAAGATAAGGTCAACTGGGCCTTCGAGTTCCTTTTTGTCTCTGAGGCCTGCTTTATGTATCTGGGCTCCTGAAGCTGCATGGCCTTATCCCACTGCTGTGACTAAGTATGAAGGGTTCAAGTCCTTCTCACCTAAATGGGTTGGTGAACAAGCTTTTTTTGGAGGGAGTAGTGGAGTGTTGATGGGGGAGGGTTTGTTCTCTCTAGTTTTGAGCAGAGGAGATACAATTGATCTCAAAATTTTTGTCTCTGTTCAGACTTCCCTTTGTATAGGTCAGTGGAGAGAAGTTGGTATGGAAATTTGCAACCTATTTTAGAAGTGTATTTCATTCATGCCTTAATATATTCTTTTAAAGAACTTCTGTATTTGCACAGATGTAGGTGAGATAAATCCTATTAATTTATAAAAGCAGACAGTGTTTCCTGATTGTCTCAATGCCGTTTTTCCCCTGAAGCTCAGAGCTTTCACGGACAGCAGAGATGACATGGCGCTGGGCCACGTAGTTGTTCTGCTTCAGCATGAGTGGCCAAGGGGTGAGAACTTGTTCCTGAAAGCCATCAACAAAATCTGCCAACAAGGAAACTTCCAGTACGAGAATTTTTTCAACTATGTCACAAGTATCCTTTCTCTGACCAAGAATGTCTTTCACATCTTACGCTGTAGCATTGAAAAAACTGTTAGACCGTTTCAGTAGTAGCTCTTTCCTTAATCGTATTCTGTATTTGTTTCCATACCGTGAAGGCTTCTTACAAAAGGTCAAGTGCACAATGGACTGTAAAGATGCTTCCTGTCACCTGTTCTGGCACTTGAGAGTACTCTTGAGTGCATTGTCATTGCACTTCCATTCAGAAAAACAGCAGCATAACCTGCAGTGCAGAAAAAGGAAGTAAAAACAATCAGGGAATTTTAAGAAATAAACTTTCTTTACCTCTGACTGTGGATATGAAACAATGAAGAAAGAAAATAAATTACCTGATTTCTTTGCACTTTAAAAAGCTATTTCTCATAAATTTGTGGAGGATTAGGAATACATTCCTGTGATCTTTGTCACTTTTAAGAATGAGTACTGCAGTAGCTGTTCAGTTTGACTGTCCTTTCAGCAGTGTGGCTTCAGATGTGAGGGATAAGAATGAACGTTCTCTATCATTGTTTCCCTACTCAAATCTTTAACGTTTTCCTCAGATATTGATATGTTGGAGGAATTTGCTTATTTAAGAACACAGGAAGGAGGGAAAATTCATCTGGAACTGCTGCCAAATCAAGCAATGTTGATCAAGTAAGAATAAAAAAGCATTTACTGTTTTCTTTGGTAAAAAAAAAAAAAAAAAGGGAGTATGTTCTGGTTGTCTTTGCTTTCATGTTATCTTCTGGATAGTTTATCATGTCTTTGAGCTTAAATTTAAGGAGTTCAAATAAGGCCCTGAGTTTCTTTTTCTGACTCTGCTGCTGATCTGTGAATTCCTTTTGGGGGTTCTTCAACTTTAAACTTCTACTTTTACAGAACTTTATTTCTGAGTGTGGTATTTGCTGTAGAATGATTCATAATAAAGTTATTACAGTAGTGCTCTTTCAACCAGACACTTGCACTTTACAGGAATTCTTTAAATAATTAGGCCTGAGTGCAAGGTGTTGTTACTAATTTGGCTGAACAGTAATACTGAACAGAAATCACTATTCCTTGTAAACAAAGTTATGAAAGACTGCGGAATGATGAAAAACTTTGGTATAAAACATAAACTAAATGACACTCCAGCTACACTCTAATAACCTTTCTGTTAGGACTAGCAGGTCATCCCTTGCCATGTACTGAACAACCTTATTCTGGTTAGCTTATTATGAGGTGCTGAAGGAAATCAGGAATTTGGATTAACTTCCTAGGTGTTCCTACTTGTTCAGTCTTGACTTGGAACTATCTGCTGCAGGGTTTTAGTGGCAGAATGTTTTGGAACATCCTGGTTGCTTATGAGAATATGATGTTTTGCTTCATAAGAGGGGGACTGATAAAGTTTGTTGAAATTTCACTTTAGGTCAGTGTATTCTGGCTATTCATTAACTAGAAATGGGCTGAAGTTTTCAAAATGGGAGCCTAACATCGGACAACAGGATCCAAACTTGGATTAGTAAATAGATTTTCCAAAGTTCTAGATAACCAACATAAAAATGAGATGCTAGGTGTAATTAAAGAAACGAAAAAGTAGAAATTCAAATGCTTACTTATGTGACAGAGACTTTTCTCTTCTAAGCTCTAGATTTTCAAACTCTTACCTTTGCTATATCTCACTGCTTGTAACCCGCTGTGTGAAAACAAGCATCAGGATATGCTGCACCACGTGTCATGTTAAGTAATAAGCTTTGTCAACAAGAGGGTTTAGCACTGAAGACTCCGCCTGGTAACTTCTCACCTGCTGTCTCCATTTCTTTGGCAGTAGTTCTGCGCTCGCTTCTCTCGGCTCTGTTTGGATTGGCGTGGTAGCTGTTACTTTCTGTTCTGACCCCACCAGTCAGGAAGTAGGTAGCCAGAAGTTTCTAGCAAGACAGAACCTCTCTTTGACCTCCATTTGATCGGTGTTATGTTTCCTGAATGATGGAAATGCTTGTAGAAGGGAGGTCCATTTCTTCGTGCTTATTGAGCCAAAACAAATACCCTGTCCAGCTGGAAAAGCTGTTTGTAGTGTCTTTCATGTGGGTCAGATGTGTAGGACTGGAAGCACTTCATCGGAGAGCTGATGGAAGGGATAGTTCAGGGCGTAGGCCGCTGATCGGAGATGACGTCTATCCCCTGGTACCGCAGATGTTTTTCTAGCTGGACTGGCTGTGAGACCCAGGGATGGTGTCACCCAACAGGGTTGGCCTCGGCAGCCCTGGTTAGCTCACAGCCTCCCCCAGCTGAGGTTTTCAATAAGGTGTGCCAGCATAGCCCTCTTTTGTGGGACATGGTTGGTAGGCTCAGCATCAGCAGACTGCTTACATCTTTCAAAACCATCACCAGTTCTGGTTGGATGAGCTGCTGCACCATCCTCCCAAGAATTAGCAGAGGCAGCTCAGATGCTGTTCAGTCATGGCTCAGAAAGACTGTAGTTTGCCACCACAGGCCAGACAGGAAGCAGTTGTTCCTTTGTCTGATCTTTGCTCAGCATAAATGTGTAGCAATCCTGCATCTCAGTTGATGGGAAATGTGTTTCAGATATTATATGTCTTTTGCAGGGACCGTGGTTTTTTTGATGACTTATAAGACATTTTCTCTCCAGTTGAATTCCACATTCTTCTTCCTGTACTTTTTTCTAAGTACTTTATACTTCATAGGAAATTATATTAATTTTTCTGAAACCAGCAAAGCAAACTGCAGTGTGATTTTCAAAAGCTGAAGTAAGATCTTGGTAGCCTGCAGACTTATAGTTGGGTTCTGCAAAGTACATACACAGCTTGTATGCTTCCCTTTTTGCTTGTGGGAGTAGAAAGGGCCAGGCTTTGAGTTTAACTGGTGATATAGCCAGCTCATTCTGTTTTCTTTTGTTCAATGACCTTTGAATTGAGCACCACTAAGTGCTTTTGAACTCCCTTCTAGATGAGTCAAGTTTCATAGTTTTACTGATTATACATGTCAGTAGTGCCAGTGTTAACTGGTGAGGTTAAAGAGGAAAGGAACAATATGCAAGAAATTGCTGCTTATTACCTTGCTTCTCTCTTTGATAAAACTTATTCTAATTAATCTAATTGTAGCCTATCAAACTGCATAAACTTGATCTGAAAGCTGAGTGTTCTGCCTCTACCCCATTTCCATCACATCTGTCCTTGGGGACAGAGAGAAGGAAAAGCTCGGTTGGTTTGAAGTGAAACAAAGTATCTTGGAAAAGTAATTTTTATTCTGATTGTGCAAATGGGTACGTATAGTTTTGACTGCAGATCTTGCAAACACTAGTGAAGACAAAGTTGCACAGAATCCCTTTTGCAAACATCTGCCACTCTGGGACCAATAACATCTTACTGGTCCTTTGTATTATCTGTTCCCCATGTCCATTTTTGCAAGTACTGAACTCATTCATCCCAAGAACTCTTGAAAAATTATCTCATTTTATTGAATAATTTTTGTGAATATTTTATTTCAGGTTATTGTAGCCATATTAGAGTGTTAAATGTCCCATCTTCATTTGACTTTTATAAGCATAGCTTTCCATGCATATCTATTAATAAATTATAGATATAACCAAAATGCCCACCTGTGAGATCTGAAGGTAAGCACCTAACTCAGTATTATAGGTATCTAAGTGTGAGCTTTGCTTCTCTGCTCCCTTCTTAGCATCTGTGGGGGTGAACGATGCACTCAGTACTCAGGTGCCTAATAAGACTTAGGTGACATTTTGAGAGACTTAGGTTAAACTAGACCTGTCCACTACATACCAAATTTCTCATTTCTCTTTTCCTTGGGTGGGACATTGGATTTGCTCTAGGTTGGACATGTTCTATTGTTATAAATAACACACAGAGATAAAAACTTCAGGGAGAAGACAAGCTGTCTTTCAGCTGAGACACCTTTTGGGGGTCAGTTCATGTGGCTGGTCATAAATAACGAGGTGTCTCTGAGCAGGCATTTGTGCTCTGACATTGTGCCATCCTCTAACAGCCATTTTTTTATGCAGTTTGGATTTGTAAAGGTGAAAAAGGCCATTCTGTGGGCTAATGAAAAGATACTTAGGCAACCTTTAACAAACAGCGTCATGTACTCAACTTGGCCGATACCCACTGTGCATGCACTCGGCTTGGGCTCAGCAGCAAACCCCTTTGCTCCAAGCCATGGGCTCTCCCAGATTGCTGACATGCTCTTGCCAGCTCTGGAGGGAAGCTGTGGTATCTGCAGTGCTCCTCTGATTAAATCTTTTCTGGCTGACATGCTTCCCGGGAAGAGCTATGACAGTTCATCCTAGTACAGCTGTGTATTGTTTTTGCACCTGCTGCTGTCCTTTTTCCCAGTGTAACTCCAAAAATATGTTTATGTATTTAGACCACAGTTGTAGAACAGCCTTGCAATGAAATCTGGGGATATTTGCATGTTTGATGCTGTTAGGGTCCTGCACCCCTTTGGCTGCTCAGGGATCATATTGCTATGTGAGCTCACCCTAGTTTTTTGTTGCTCCTTTTTCTGGAGAGTTGTTTTGCACCGGAGGGGGAGTTGGTGTGTGGGTGTTTGAATGCTGCTATTTGCTGTTTTTTAAAGGACTTCTAGCCCTCCCATGGGGTTACTGCAGCAGGAATTCATACCTGTGCTACAGCCCAGCATACAGACTGCTGACAGGTACCAAGTGGAAAAACCCCGCTCATAAGTGTGCTGTGTTTTGTCGACATGTTTTACTGCCCATGGTTTTCAGCAATTTGTTACTTATCTTTTTTTTTTCCCTTCATTTGTGCCTACATTGCCTGGCAAACCATGTTGTTCTATTATAACATTTATTTTTCTTTTTCCCATAAGTTGCCAGTATCCGTGTCCTTTCAATTTAATAATCACTATTGAATTTAAACAATAATGTAGAAATCGTCCAAAATTATGCTGGTGTTCGATCACATATTAGCAAGAGTATAACCCTTCCTTCTCAAGATGCTGGTTACTGGATCCATTTGTAGCTACTTTTCCTTATTTAGGTTGTTCTGAATTCTGTTTTCTGTTTTCCAGCTATAACATGACACACATCTTCCAAAGTGCTGCTGGCTCACTCAGTAGCTGTAGGTTGCATATTTTCCTTTAGGTTGTAACTGACCATAGCACTCTGCTGCCAGCAATGTTTAAAAGAGTAAAGACTGAAAACAGGGCTTATCCCATAACCTCTGAATATGCTGGAGTGTTTTCACTGTGGTTTTGCTTCTCTTAGCCTAGATCATTAAGGAATTGCCCAATAGGCTCCAGGCTAGTCTCCTTTTTGCCTTTTCCATGTGTTGCAGAGGTCTCTACTCAAATGCCAGACTTGCTTTTTTATGTGGAAGTTGGGTGGTATTGTTGGTGAGGGTAATTCCAAGATTTTTCCCTTTCTCATTTCCAGCACCTCTGGATTTGCATAGATGCCCTCACCCTTTATTTTTTATTTTCTTTTGTCTTTCAGTGTGCTTGCTGGGTTTGGACCAGCTCTTCCCTTCTTACCCATGACTCAGGACTTGTCTCAGCATTAGCATTATGCTTTTCTCTCGAAATTAATTTATGCTTCTCCTTTAGTAGTGTTAGGGCTCTCTTTCCAGGGCATATCTTTATTTCCCAAGTAGGACTTGCAGGTAGATATTATAGTCTTGATCTTACTTATCCAGTTCTGGACCAGTGCAAGTGAAGTGTAGTGCTTTGATGCTGCGGAAGATTGTTTTAAGGACAAGATTTAGGTGTTGAGTGCTAGAGGCCAGTGTAAGGACAAAGAGCTGTTCACAAGAACAGCCCTTAATAGGGCAATATCCCATGAGTTTCCCCAGCCAGCACTGCTTTAGCTTGCTCAGTTTTGTTCTGTTTGAAAACAAGTCCTGAACTTCTGCTCAGGATAACTGTAATCCCGACCTGGTGTCTCAAATCTCCATAAGAGCTGGCTTCTACTGATGCAGACTCACAGCCTGTCTTGATTTGGGTTTTATGAAGTGTTCACTATGCCTTTCATTAGTCAAAGCGTTATCAGTGCCCAGAGGATTATATAGCTCCTTCCTGCACTTTGATACTGGTAGAAGATGCCCTCTGCTCTTTATGGTGGCACCCTTCCTCCAGACAAAGCAAGTTCATCTTGTCACTCTTCTTTCAACCCTGGTCATTTAAAGAAGAGATTCCAAGGAAGAAGCAGACTGGGCAGCAAAAGTAGAGAGAAAAAAAAATATTCCTTTCCCCAAGCAAGGAGAACTCTGTACCTGCTCATTTCAGAGAACAGATTTTCCTGTTAGCCAAAAGAGCAACATAATTTCCTCCCCAACAGTCGTAGTAAAAGCAGTGAGAACATAGACTTTTAATGGAACTTCCAACTGTTAAACGAACTGTAAGCTACTAAACACATGATTTTTAAAAAAATAGCATAGCAGGGCTATTTGACTCTGATTATGTAAACTCAGATACGGACAGTAAATATATAGTAAGTCCACTAAATAACGATTATTTTATTTTGTCTGTCTCTCTTTCCTTCATGGCTTAAGGCATCATACAGTTACCCGGGGTATAACTAAAGGAGTGAAGGAAGATTTCCGCCTGGCCATGGAGCGCCAGGTCTCGCGCTGTGGGGAAAATCTCATGGTGGTCTTGCATAGGTTCTGCATTAATGAGAAAATACTGCTGCTTCAAACTCTTGCTTGAATGGACTGGATCATGATGCCGTGTCTTTTATGGAGACAGAGGAAGGCTCTTAATTGTATGAAGAAGCAGCATGACAGTGGAAAATCACTTGTTCAGGAGTCAAAGAAGTTCCCTATGAGTTACAGGTTCTGCAGTACACAAACACCACATAGTGTTTGTTCACTGGTTAGTTTTTTTATGTGGGTAGATCAAACTTTATAAATAAAACTTTGTTTAAGAAGTCTTCTGTTATAGCCTATTTGTTTTGCCTTTTTTTTCCATAGCATAATACTAGGGTGTCTGTCTTAGTTCTTTCCATCTTTATCCATAACACAGATAACATAGCAAGGTATTTCATGGTTTTTATTAGCACTAGTTTGGTTTTCAGATTCAGGTCCCTTAAGTAAATCCATGTAGAAAGAGAATGGCTTTTACTGAAATGGGGCAATATCCAAGTGGTTATACAAAGTCAATAGGAAATGGCCTTTCTGCACTCCTAGAGTGTAGCACATGAAACTCGGACCTCATCCATGCTAGAGGTACGTAACACAAAGGCCCAGAACATGCACAGATGGGCTGCAGACCTGTAGCAGCAGCCTGCTGATCAATAAGCCAGTAGAAGAGATTTTAGGCAGCAGGCTTCAGCAGGATCCTAAACCTAAGGTTTTGGTCCAAGGCCAAACTGGAAGAATATAACGAAGCATGATCAGCTGAGGGCACCACTTTCCACAACACACTGTTACACAGAGCTTTTCCCAGACAGTAACTGCACCACCCACCCAAGTGCAGGGCTGAGGATGCTGCCAGTGCCCCTTAGTGGAGCCAGTGGCCAAGTTAAATGTGTGCCTGTGGCCAGAGGGGCACAGACATGTGACAGGTGCCAAGGATATAAACAAACCCCAGACCACCTGAGTCAGGAGGTTCCGTGTCAGATGCAAGGACTGTTACCACAGGCCCATTCTGATAACCCCTGAGTCACCACCCAGATCCCTTGCAGTTCCTTTCATGAACACCATCAGGCTCCCTTAGGCTGCCCAACCGTATGTTCAGTTTCTCTATACGAAGGAAGGAAATCAGTAAAATATTTACAAAAGACAGGAAACAGAGAGCAACTGCAGACTAGTAAGGTTTTGCTAAATAGGAAAATACTGTCCCTTTAGTCACATAAAAGTCTTGATGACGACTTCCATGGCACTGTAAACGTGAACTAGTATCCCTTTTTTGTTATACAGCCTAGCATGAGTGGCAGTATTTCAGGATAATCCACCATATTTCAGGATAATCCACTTGCCTTGTCAGAGTCTAGGCCTGCTACACTTTGACCACCTCTATCAGATTTTCCAGAATATGCTTCTCCTGTAAAGTAAATATGATATTAAGACCCAAAGAGTTGTCGCAGTGAGGTTTTGAGTCAGATGCTCTGCGTGGGATTGACTGTCTTGCATCTTCCACTTAAAAGGGAAATAGTCTTCAAACACTTCATGTCCAATGTAGACCAGGATTGAGTTCATTCCTGAAAGGAAGCACAGATCATAACATCTGAAAGAGCAGGTAGGAATTTGCTTCAGAGCAAGCAGGCAGAGGCGTGCCAGGCTTATAAAACAGAGTGGCATGGAGACAACACCAGCTAATGTTACTTGCCCTGAAGATGCTACATTCGTGTGTTTTCAAATACAGTCTGAGGGTTCTCTCCCCCGAAACATTTATTGAAAAGAAATACAAACAACCTTTGTGCTAAATTGAAAACACAACCAAATCAGTATGCTGCAATTATATTAATAAGGAGAATAATAACAGTTATTGTCTTCAAGGAGGTCGAGTGCCAACCTATCTGTTCAGATCTGTTGCCTTTACAAACAAATGCTGACTGCCCTTCAAAGCTCTGGGATTTCTGGTAGGAGGTACAATACCATGCTGTCACCCTACCCATTTTCCTGTCCAGACACCAGACACCAAAGCTGCTGAAAGGTCCCCTCTGGTGTGGGTTTGCATTCTGTACTCATGTTTGTTGTGTGCCCAGTGTGGTTAAAACCACAGTGGGATACTTTGGGAGGCATGCTTATCTGAAATCAGACAGACAGAACCTACACAGCTGCCCAGGGGATTTCATCTTCCACATCTTCAGAAGTGGTATTACTCTGTTGACAGGCCTTTGAGTTTCCCATTAAAGTTACACAAGTCTCAGCAGTCCTTTCCAAAACCAGTTATGAACAGCTGTGGTATTTTGCTTGGTACTAGGCAGCTGTTCACGGAAACCTTAACTCGAGACCAAACTGAGAACTGTCATTAGGCAATACCAATAGCAGCTTCCAGGCCTTGTTTAAAGAACTGACTGTCCCTCTCCTAAATATCTGGTCTCGAGCATCCCCGTTCTATGCAAATGTTCCACTCAAGTTAATCATTCTGGAATCCTTCAGGTTACTTCATTCTAAATCCCTGCTCTTTTAAAGACAAGGGAAGCACAGAAAGCAAAAGGATAGTATCAGCGCAGAAAGAACTGGAAGGAAGATGTTTCCCTGCTGTGATTTTACTGACCTGGGTAGAAAAATGGAGCACCAGACCACAGTTTCTTGACATCCACAAGGTAATATATCAGCAGTAAGAGGATGAAAGCAAAACAGCCTGTGGTTGTCACATACGATATTGACCTACAAACATTTTCAGGTGGAAAGATTAATGTTTAAAGACCTATGTGATACCGATCTCAATATAAAAAAGGTAAAGTAGTACTTTAACAAAATCATACTAGAAGTTGTATCTCTTTGCTTACCATAAGTTCTTGTTTATGGGAATAAACCCTTCTTCTTTAGAACATTTTGTCAAGATAGCAGAAATAATTCCCTGAAATAGAAAGTTGCTAAAGTTTATATAACCATTGCAACATCTTTAAGAATAACTAACTATGCACTGCATTACAATATATGTCTGTTAAAGAACTACATAACCATCAGACTTACCAGTAATATGCTCCATACGATGAACCGACTCATAATTTGTTTGTGCTGGTCTTTGTAGAACAAGGTAATTTTTCCTGCCTTATAAAAAGAATTTTAAAAAAATAATTAATGTCCTTTAATGTAGCTGCATTTCAAGAGCCAGATATATTTGCCACCAGCTACCTGAGCAAAGACAGATAACACTAATAGGATTTATATCAGCCAAATGGCTGAAAGGCTCAGAAGAGGCAAAGAATGGACACAGAAGGGGAAAATAAATAAATGCACCCAATCAGCATTAGAGGTGCACCTTTTCTCCCTTCCTACTATGTTAACACTGAGGAAGGGGACAAGCACCTTTATTAGGTCAACACAATGTAACTTGAGCTCCCTCTCCCTCAGCAAGGGTTGCATGAAGGAACACTACAGCCAGCCCCAACAGCTTCTCCACAGCGCCACATCACAGCCTGACCTGATCAGAGCACACACTCCTTTTCATACACCATTAAGAAAGGTGTCCTGATGACTCATTCCTCGGTGCCACACTTCTGTTCCAAGCTCTGCCCTACAGATACTCCCAATCAGTTTTTACCCTCTGCTACATGTGGAAACATTCCTTTTCCCAGCACAAGTGTTTCAGTTTGGTTCACAGCTGCTGCACAGTCAGAAAAGCCAGCAGTGACTAACTAGAACTGCATCAAAAAGCATCGTGGTATCGCATTTCAAACACAGTGGTGGGCTGTGAGCTTTTGGTGTTGGTAACACCAATGTGAATCCCTGCATCCCTCGAGTCAGGAAAGGTGAGCACACTCACAGCACGTATGCAAGACAGCTAACACTGCACATCAAGCAGAAAATTAGCAACGGGGAACAAATACAGCTTCAACATTTAAAATGCTTAAAATGGAGCTGTGAAATCTATGCATCTCTTGGCCTTATTTTCCAATATGCAGAGCTAGCCTACTCCCAGCATAAGCGCAATCTTAAAACAAACGAAGTTTCCAGGTGGATATTTTGAAAACTTCTTGTGTCCATCCCTTACAAAAATGGAGAAAAAGTTTAGGTGTATCTAATGCAAGTTACTGCCATGTTAGGCTCCACTTCTCTGACACTCACCTCAGGCTAAGTCATCCTGAAAGCATTGCTCCAGAAAAGTTTTTGTTAGAACCAGTCTCGGTCATAAGTAAAGAAACCCCGTTGCCTCCCCACTTCCAAGCTTCCTTCAAATCTTCCCGTTATTGCATGCAGCCAGAAAGAAAAGAGGTACCTGCAGTCCCAAAAATGCCATAACAATGCTATTTATGGTCCCCAGGATCCCTTCAGGATCATATGGCATCGTTGTTTGGTAAGTCACCTTAGAGAGAAAACAGTTGTTACAGGGCACCTGAACAACCAATCTCCTTTCACTTAAATCCCCTTGCACATATCATTCCCAAGCCCCTCCTGACAGGTATGTTCAGTGCTTGCCTATGGCTTCATATTGCAAACCAAAAAAAGCTACTTACACTTGAAGAGGGATGCTGATAAATATGCTTTTCTCCAAGAAGCAAACGATCAATGTAACCAGCTGCTCCTCCAGTGCAGTTGGGATACTTTCCAAAGTCTCCAATGCCCCCAGGACCAAGATAGCCCCTAGGACAGAGGCAAACAGGTTATGGCACACAGTGTTGGTATGCTCCGTACCACCAGTCCAGCACACCAAATGCTCAATGTTTTCCCCGGCTAGAGGCACATGTTGATGGCATTGCAATGATCATACATTGTTGTACACAGACCTCAGGGAGATTTTAATCCTCTCCTTTAGATAGAAAGGAGGAATGATATCACTTTTGTAACACCTGCTACTTTAGTACTAAAGTAAAGAAAGTTTTTTCACATGGTGAATGCTTCCTTTAATGCTGCTGGCCTAAAAGCTCTCCTTCCCCCTGGGTAATAAACTGTACTTTCTACTCAGTAGAATAAAAACTATCTGATGCCCCACAGAAAGTAGTCCAAGTGCACAGTCTTACCTAGGACAATCTGGCACTGGTAACAAGAAAGTCAGGCAGAGCCAAGTCACTTCTAACATCAGAATGAAAATCCACTGTGGCCAGTAGGGGAGAATATCCTGCAGAGCAGGATACTGTGCTTCCTGCATGAGATGGAGGAAAGGGAGTATTAGCTGGCAAGTAAGAACCATGCCCTTGGGGACAACCTGTACTTCCTGGCAGGCAGTCCCCCAGATACAAGAGGGAGCTGCTGTCATTACAAAATTGGGTTCTACCAATAGACCTTTCATTTTCAAAAACGATTTCCAGACACTTAGTTACTTGGGGAAG